AGTGCTGGTTTTACAGTGATATCGCTTGAAGTAATATTACATTTTTTTATTCTTATTTTTCGCCAGTTATTTTCCATGACTGTTAAATTACCAGCTGGCATTCCCATGTAGCTATGTTTTGGAGAGCTCCGATAGTTTATTTACAAGTTTTGCTTTGTTTATTATCCCAGGCTTGTATTTACCGAATCTACGCTTTCTTTGCTTGTTACAGTGTCTTCAAGTATTTTATTTCAACATATTCTAAGCGGCAGTAGTTTGCTTTCACCAACAAAAATAATGATTGATTGAGTGGCGGTTTTGTATAAATGTTTTAAAAGTACTGATTACTTTGGAGGAGTATAAAACACTCGAATTAATGCTATTGATTGTTTAAATATTTGTTATTTCGTCTAGTGTAATTTCATAAGCAATCTGCTAATAATATTGAATGATCAAAAACGAGACTTTTGGATTTAACTTTCTAAATTCACATTTTAGAAAGTTATAGTTTACCAGGATATTGAAAATCTTCTGTTCTCGAGTGAATTATACCATAATAATTTCAAAACCATCTTGCTTCTACCCATTAGTTTAACGATAAATCAATAACAAAAAAAGTTACAGAATTCTTGTTTAGCCTGAAAAGAAAAATTATGCAAATAGCAGTTGATAAATGAATTCGATAAACGATTTTCAGTTGGATGAAATATCGTTAAAGGTACTTAACTAAGAAAAAAAGACTTGATAATTGTTAATTGTCACCGTTGTTATAATATCGTTACCATGTCTGGTAGTAATTATCATTTGGTGAACAAGGCAATTTTGATTATGTGGATGCAGTCACGGATGTGTTACAAGAGTATGAAGGCTTTTGGTGTATGTCTACTTTGATTCCTTGAAACCGAACCGCTTTGTATATCTGTTGACAATTGAGTGCTTCAATTTTTTGCATTATTAATAGGGGATTGTATTTGCAACTATTTGCAACTTTAATAACAGATTTTTCGTGGAAGGCAAAGCTGCAATCTGCGAAGTCGTGAGATGAGGAAAGTATAATTGAAATTTGTGTAAGTAGAACGAATATTAGTTTGCCACTGTTAATGAATATGCACTTCCAATTATGATTTCTTTTAATTCTATTTCTGTAAAAATTGGTAAAATGAGTATAGTTGAGGTTTTTTGCAAGTTTTGATAACTCATAATCGGAGCTTTACATTCATATGCGAGTTTTGGTTAGTGAAGCTTTATTTATGTATCAAAATGGGGTACTAATATACATTCGTATGATGACTGCTTAAATATATGATGGGTAATGCTGTCTTTATTTTTACAGAAAACGGAGCTTTGTTGCATCATTCTCTTTAAATTGGTTTCATATCAGTTACTTCACGGAGTCGTTTTGTTTATCGTCGTTTGGACTGCAAATTGTAATGATTGAAGGCTACTAACAGAAATTTCAATTCGTCATTTAGTCATTGCACTTAATTATTCAAGTACTGTAAAAGATTTTGTAGTCTTTCTTTTCCAACATTTTTGATCAAATTATAGACTCACTTGCGAAATGCTGCGTAATATTTCTGTTATTAAATAAAAAGACTGATATGATTTGTTTTCTTCAGACATAGGTTGAAAGCATCTAACTTCAGGAGGGCAGAAGTATTAAAATTCTTTGAGCCTACTTTATTCTTATAAGCGATTGCTTTGGAATTTTAGAATTCACGACATTCGCATTTTCCATGGTATAATAGCGGCAGTTGCCTTTGACAACATCCGCATCAATAACCAATTTATGGATGTCCGTACCAGGCAAATCATACTTTGCATCCAGCAATACTTTTTCGGTTATTGATCTGAAATACTGTTATTTGAGTACTATAATAGCTTGTATGAAGGATAGGAAAAAGCACGAAATTAAAATTACAGCTAATCTTGTCTTATGATATTAGACCATATTATGCGAGCTGTAGAAATAAATTTATTAGTGAATTCTAGTATCTTGCAGTTTTCTCATGTAAACAGACGCCGTTTGCTGCTTGTATTCCAGTTTGAAAAATGAAAGTGGTGTTTACAAACATCAAAGAGAATGTAGCGTTTTCAAGATAATTAGAGAATTTAAGATAATCTTCATGTTGTAAAGATGTGTGATTTTGGCATGTATATCAGTTCGGATTCCGATCTTTTGATGCACTTATCAGGTAACCTAAGTGCTCGTGCTCCAATTCCTTTTTGTGCTGCAGTGCGGGCGATTTCTTTTAGGGCGCAATCGGTGAAGCACAGTTGTATATCATCAAGTAGGAACTGTTTTTCCGCCTGTGAAACGATCGAACATTTCGGCTCTGTCATTATTCGCACAAGTAATTCTTCCGTCAAACTAGTAAATGGAACAAGCACGGGAAAACGACCTATTAGTTCGGGTACCATACCAAATCTGGAATCAGGTTCTTTATTTTATTCAGCTCTTATACTATAAGAAAATTCAATTTAGTTGAGAATATGGATTGTCCTTACTTTATTAGATCAATGTGGTCTGCTTGTTTTAACAAATCGTCTCGAAGTTTGTTTGTTTTCATTCCGTCCTAAATAGAAAACAAAGCGATATTTCTGTTATTTTGCTCTATTTTGAGAACTTTAGAAAACAGTCAGAATTTCAAACCTTTTCTGTTAAGTAATTGCGACACAACTCCTCATCTTTTCCGCTACCAAATCCAACTAACTTCTTGTGCAAACGTTGACTAACAATTCGATCCAAATTATTGAATGCTCCAGAAGCAATAAATAATATATTTGTAGTATCCACGTCAACCTACAAAGAAAGCAATGATGGACAAACAGGCATAATAAGTCATTCAATCAATTCAACACTCACAAATTAATGGAGATACAAAATTCAGAACCTTATTTAAATTTCAAACTGAAAATGCTCCGATTTAAAGCAGCATAAAATCTCTGGAAAGCCGATTCAATACGTTTCAATACAAACACAAATATTCTCTTTTGTGAGAACTAAAAAGCCGTCCCGTCTGTCCGTATGGAAAAAGCGTCACCAATCTGCAAAGCGTGTGTTTGGAGATATGGGGAATCGAACCCCAGCCCTCTCCCATGCTAAGGGAGCGCTCTACCCCTGAGCTATATCCCCACACAGTCCAGCGGACTATTCCTCTAAACATGCTAATAAGCCATCATAGTTGACAAGTTAGTTGACAACTTTCTATTTCGTGGTAATATTATAACTAAATGCTTAATAATGATAATAGCAATTAATATTTGTTAATATAAGAAATAATTTATCACTTGTTTTGATTCTTGTCTGTAGACAGTTCCTTTTAAAAGGTAACTCTTTTCTCTTTCTAAACCTATGCTACCAATTTAAATACACTGTAGATAAGCATTGATTTGTGGTAAAATTGAACTAATGTTTTCAGTCAGGATGCATGGAAAATTTTAATTAAATTCACTTCCCTTATATTGTTCTACCTCATCTCTCAGTCAATTTTTTCATTAATTTTTCTTTTCTCACCCCACTTATTAGCAGTGAGAAAATAACTTTAATAACTATAGAGAAACAATAGGCTTATATTTCGTTGAAGAAGAAGATATTTTTATGATAAAGATGCTTTATCCAAATACTTAAATATTATATACATAGCATACCGAACATACCCGTGTTCCATTAGATCCGGGCAGTTTTACTTTCACTACGGTACCTTCTATTAATTTCAGAAATGCTTGTTGCACACCCCGACCTCCAACATCTCGAAATGAGCGTGATTCGAAATCGAGTGAACTGCTAATTTTATCGAATTCATCCAGAAAAACTATACCTCTCTAAATTATGAAATAGATTGTTACATTTGAATATTGAATTTGCTCCCAAGAATTTGGAAGATAAAGGAAAAATGAAAAAATAACACCAATAATCAATTTTTTTGACAACAAATTCTAATTATTATCCAATTAATAAACAAATTCTGTTTCTCATAGTTTTGAATACGTAGATAGAAAGAACATCTGCAATGAAATCTTTGCACCTGCGCAGCATCAGTATCACCATCTGCATTAACAAGAAGTTTTTGGATGACCTGTAATTAAACCTCTCAGCTCAGTGGATAATTGATGCACAAAACAGAATAACAGCCAGATAAAACGCATACGGCAATTGTTATTTGAAGATTTAATGAAGCTAATTATCTAGTTAAAATTTAAATGAAAATTACCAGAACCCACGTGAACTACCCGATAATTCGATACAATAGACCTATCGGTAATGATAAAATGACACATTGATATGACGGGGGAAAAGAAAATTTTCTTCAAATCTTAGAACTGGTAGTGTTTTAATAGTATGAAATTGCATTAGCTGCTCAAAATGAAAGGATCCACTTTCAACCACAATAATTTGCAAAAAACAAGCTGTGTTTTTTTGTGAAAATAGAATTATTTTGAATTATCATTCAGTAATTATCATTCACTGATAAAACAACAATCAATTCTTCTCTCAGTCATCTCAATCATTGCTCTCTGCTGTAAATGATGATGTCACTGATAAAGAAATGAAGAACGTACCGTATCAACATCATCTCCAACATATCCAGATTGCGTTAGCAATGTACAATCACACATTGCTATTGGTACATCTAATATTTTGGCCAAAATTTGTGTTAAATAAGTTTTTCCAACACCGGATGGACCCATCAGAATTATATTTGATTTACCCAAATTACTACCCTGATGAATGAAATGAATGAATCTGACAACATAAGTAGGATCCGAAACGAAATTAATGAATTTAAAGAAAGCTTCCATATTTTATACCTCTTTTTTTTCACATTAATAGGGGTAAGTTATAGAACTAGCATTATTAGAATGGGATAAGCAGTGAATTCTTAATAGATAATTCTTCTTATTTGATTTAGTTAATTTTTAATTAAGCGAAAAAAGAATCTTCGCGAAGGAAAATAGAATGAAGCAAAAGAGCAAAATAAAATTGATAAGAGAGGAATTTATTTTTCCTATGAAAAACGCATCACTAATTAACAAAGGAATAGAAATTAAATTACCTTATTCGCTTCCATTAACGTTTGGACTGATTTGTTGCTAAAATTAATTTTACCCTGAGGTTTTCGTGTTCCATTGCTAAAATAATTTTTAATCAATGCAAGTTTGCTTGACTTATTTGTACAAATTTCTAAAAAACAAAAATAAATCCAGTTAAACAAATATGAAACATTTTCCCTCATTTTCTTTCAGTTCTCACGCCAGTTTCGCAATAAATCTTACGGGGATTTGAAACGAAATAAATTAAAAAAAAATTCTTTTCATGTATAAAAATGAAAGTGAGAAAGAAGCATCTGAATTAGAATTCCAACGCATTAATTGAAAGCAAATGTTCCCAACCTTTTATTATTAAGTTAAGTCAGTATTTAAACGAAGGGATCAATACCGAAGCATCACAAATAATTGCATTTCGGTATTGGTCCTTTATTTGCATAATCTTAACGAACTACTGTTCACTTAAGAATCTTCAAAAACGATTATTTAGAGATAGTCACAGGTCATGTCATGCAAATCTTATAATGCCTCGTATTTATTTCTCACTTATGTCGCTATTTTCTCCAATCTCACATAGTAGTTTGCATGTCGAATGAAATCGTGCGAATAACAACAGATTATTATTAACTGTAGTGGACAACGTCAACTCAATTTATGAGTAGCCATATTTAAAAGATGTGTGGACATTCATATCAAATTAGCATTTCGCTTATTTTTGATGTAAGAAATGATGAAGCAGTGCATGCTTGTTATTCATTTTTAGCTATGCTAATGAGAATCTGTATATCTATCACTGGTTGAAATTAACAGCAGAGTCAGTCTTTTCAACATTGGACTATATCATACGGATAACAATAGATCGAATATCCGGAATCATATCTTTGATCGTACTAGAAGATCTTATAATCGGATGCACTGTAAATGTAACATTGTAATTATTTCATGTTGAATTTATGAGCAGAGAAAAAAGAATTGAGATATTCACCTTTTTTGCAAAATTTTTCTCAAAATAATGTTTTCATTGGTTAGTGAAAGATCGGAAATCTGTTTCGGAGTGTTATTTACTGAAGATGATTGAGTCTAAAATTAAAAAAGTAAGTAATTTGAAGAATTCTGTACTCACATAATTGTTCCAAGAAGATTACTTAATCGATTAGATTTAATCCATTAAAAAAACTGGCAATGATTATCAATTGGAATGCTTTGCTAAATTAGCTATTATATTTAATTAAAGGCATTTCATTCGCAATGAAAGTTAATGGAACCGAAAAGAAGTTAAATGATAGGAGATAAGTCAATTTTTTGAATCATTTTTTTTATTTCTAATTTCTTTCATATTTTAGTATGCTTTTTTCTATTTCTTTTCTGCATACAATAATGAATAATGTCATTAATTAAAGATGATACCATTAAAGTCGTTAGTAAATTCTTTACTAAATCCGTCATTGAGACATAATTAAATACCAAATGAGCAAAACGGAAATGTAATCATTTTAAAAAAAAATTAAATTCTCTTATCAAAATCCATAAAATGTAATAACTTCTGCTCCAATAAGAGAAATGAAAAATGAAATACCTGAGATTCCTTCTCCTTCAAGGTATCATTGTATGCGAAACGCTTATAATGTTGATAAACACCAACCGCAAGAGTTTTCTTGGCATATTCTTGTCCAATAACGAATTGATCCAAATAATTGGTAATCTCTTTCGGATAAGGGAGACGTTTATGTGACAACGATTTGGTTGAGGATGTTTGTAACATGGATGAAAAATTTCGATTTGTTGCTGAATGATATCTCGAATGTACCGCTTTCGTCTGACACTAACAAAATTTTGAAACTCAATTCATTTCTTCTTAATGATACACAAATGGACAAAGCAGTGGGTAGAATCTTAATGAAAAACAAAATTTGCGAAACAATTTGATTTATGTTCTTTTTCGATTTCTGATCGATTTTTGATAAAATTTTTTGACAAATTTATTGAATAAAATGAAATATCTTCACTACCAGAGATTTATAATAATTGTGTTTTGCACCGACTTGCAAGAAAAGCTTCGATGGAATATTCCCATTGCTTTTAATTGATTTGCTATATTTTTCCCGGATATTTTGCCATGTTGCAAGCAAATAACCGGTCATCTTTCTTCGTCCATTATAACAATTTTTATTTAGACCTCGAAATTAAGTTTTGATGGACTAAATTCGAATATCGATGAAGTGCTAAACAGCTGATTTTGGATGATATATTTACTTCCGTATGGTTGAAACAAAAATAAAAAGCTAAAATTTAATACAAAGATAGCAATCAAATAGATGAAACGAAAAAAAAAATGAAGGATCACTTTCTAAAAGACCAGTAAATAAGTTGATAATTCTCACTAGTTTTAGATAAAGTAAGTAGCATGACGGTAATTGTCAAGAAATATACAACCGCTCACTAACAGACATCGGTATGAATAATACCGCGAAGTATCATCCTCTGGTTATTTAGCACATATTGCAAATAAAAAATCCTTCACCTAAAGAGATAAAATTCCGATCTGAAAAAATAAAGTTTTGATGAGCTGAATTTGGATGCAATGAAGCAGTAATAGATGAATTCCATCCTTCGCAAACACTTTAATTGTCGTTAATTAAAAAAACATAATCAATGTATCAATATATCAATACTTTATTTGTTATCGTTTGCACATAATAGTCCTGATTGTACTCCTACTAAATAATAGTTTACTTTTTGCAGAAGATTGAATATTCCGGATCAATTGCGCACTTCTAATGAGTTGGATAGCATTTTTCTATTAATAAACTGTTTTTCAGATATTTAGCGATGTCTTAAGCAAAGCATGACTTACTCCTTTCCATCAAGAAGATTTCGGTCTAAACTCTAAAATTATGTTCTGTGAGCTGATTTTGATAAAGTACTAAACAAGTAAATCTCATCCCTCAGTAAAGATTTTGATCCTTGTTAATGAAAATTAATCACTTAAATGGTACAACTATGGACACCAATCACTGTCTCCATGTCCTATATAATTTCTGTACTTAGAGGATAACTCCTGTTATCAAATATTGTACTCCTACTAAATAATAGTTTACTTTTTGCAGAAGATGAACATCAATTGGAAGATTGAATATATGAATTAAATAGAAACTATGCGAATTAAAAAAAGAGAAATGCACTGCATTGTAAACTCAACAAGAACTCTATGAATTGCAAGCGTTACTTAGCATTTATTACATCCTCTCCATCACTAATAAAGAGTAAATGAAATCATATTCAGTTATAAAATATATGAAGCATTAAGTAAAACCAAAAACCATTTGTAAATGGTCAAGTGCAGCCTTAATACATCGTCGTCTTTAAATTTACGAAGAGATGATTTACTTTTCAAATATTTCCTATTTCTATTCATCTTCTTTGAAAAGCATTGATAAGCAACGCCCACTTCTTTCAATCAAAAGAAATAGGCATCTAAAACTCGAGAGACTCCAATCTACCCTTTTCGTTTTTAACAAGTCGAGTCTTGAACTGACGCCATAACTGACAAAAAAACATAGCGCTAATATGAACACAAATGTCATCCTTGAAGTAACGGCACAGTTCAATTCACAACCCTCAGGGCTAGTACCGCATCATAACCGCTTACACTGATATGTGATACTACGCCCAACGAAGCAACGACCTCTAAAAGAACTCCACCACAATTTCACTTTCCTATGCAAACGATCTCAACTGAAATTACAGCACTTGACTCCTAATTATCCCCCAACTTACTATTCTCAACTTTCTGTAGTCCAAATTACATTTCTAAATATTGCTCAAATCTGAATTTCTTTT